CATGTGAATGTGGTACAGACATGGCACTCAGCAACAGGTGAAAGACAAGAGTCAATAATTTTGATGATCTCTTTTACCTATAGTAGCCCCTTTCGAATGAACTGTTTAATGATTCTTTGGTGTCCTCAAGTGTAACTGCTCATCAGACCCTTTGTACTTACAGCAGGCAGTTATATCAGAGACTATGGCATTTCATTTGAAAGAAGGAGCATACAGAACGAGAGAAGTGGCAGATAATGCAACATTGGGTTGGGAATTCAATATGTTAATGTGTAACTATAGACAAAACTTAAAAAAAAAAATTTTGGGATAGAAAAGAGGTATGTTAGAACCCCTCTCAAGTTTTTATTGCTGTCTCTAACATTTGTCCCAATGTCCATTGTCACCAAGACAGAAAGTGAAGGGGAAAGCGAAACTTTGAAATTGTCACTAAAACAAGAGGTCAGAGAAGATCTTCCAATGGGAAACCTGTTCTGTAGACAACTGTCTAAAAGGGAATTATCCTTTCACTTCTATGGGAAAGGAAGTGAAAATCTTCCCAACAAAGCAGAGACAGCAAACAATAAACTTAGAGAGGTTTTAATCCTTCCTGATGCTATCCAAACTAAATCAAAGTTTTGGCTCTACATACACTTTACTGAGTAATAAAATACGCAATGCAGTAACAGGTAGGTATAGGGAGATAGGATGTGAAACTGTGAATGAGGCACACAGCACAAAGAGCAGAGACAGTGCAGTCAGAACAAACAGAGACATGGAAACCCAGACAGAAAAGATAACCAAGATAAGTCTCAGTAACTGTGCCAGATAAACAAGGGAGATGCCAGGGCCCAAACAGGAGCACAGAAAATCAGTGATGTGGAGCAAATGGACACTAAGAGGATAACAAGAGCTGGGTTCGGATGATTGCCAGGGGGGACCATAAAAAGCAGCAGCAACCAAACAGCAAGAGCTGGAAGGATGTCAGGATCAGATGAGAGAAAATTCAAATATAGAGGCAGGAGCTGGAGAGAATGCAAAGCAAATAACACAGATCCTGATTCAAGTTCAAAGTACAAGCACTGGCTGCTAAGCAATGTCCTGAAAGAAAAGAGAAGTAGGTAAAAGTAGGCTATAGCAGGGACTGATAGACAGGTGAGAGTAGGGCATGAAAGGGACTTATGAAGAGGCAAGAGTAGGCCAGAGCAGGGACTGATAGATAGGAGACACAGGTAAGAGTAGACCAGAGCTGGGACTGATAGACAAGTGAATGCTGAATAGAGCAGGAACCCATAGACTAGTGAGACATGGCTACAGCAGGCATGATAGACAGATGAGAGTAAGTTAGAGCAGGAACTGACAGACAGATGAGAAGAAGCCAGAGCAGAGACTGATAGACAGGAGAGACAGTTAAGAGTGGGTCAGACAAGTGAGAGTTGGCTACAACAGGGACTGATTGATAGCGAAGAGTAGGATGGAGCAGGGCTTGATAGGATCCTGACAGCATATGTGAACCATTTGGCTCATTGCACTTGTAAGCTGGTTTTAGTATCTTTTTTTTAGGGAGACCACTCCCTTGATTGATGCTAATGGGTGGAGTACAGTACCCTTTATAATCTGCTGTAGGTGGGACCCTGTACAGAAGGTGGATGGGTACTGGCTAACCCTGACTTACAGCATGTAGGTTTGTAACCCGGAGATTAGTAGGCCTTCTGGACCTTGCTCCAGAGAGAGACCCCATTTGAGGACCCACTTATGGAGGACTCATGAAAATACATATGAAATGATATATACATATATATAAATTGGATCAGAGCATAATAAAACTATATGATACCAAATCATGATTTGATTTTGGCTGGTCAGTGTTTTCTCTGCAGCTCTGCTTGTAATGCAATTTCTTCCAAGTGGATGACATTTCTTTTTCCTAATAAATTCCAATATTACTACACTATGGGCACCCTTTTCTTTGGCTCTACATTGAGCTATTAATTTACAGATTCCCATGTGACACAAAGCTGCTCCAGGACCAGAGGAGATAAATCCTTTCCAGGCTGTATACCCATTCCACTTTAAAGGGGACCTCTGGCTGATTACATCTTATATACTATACTGCGTATTTTAAATGGGCATCTGGTGAGTGTGCATTTTTACCATATTCCCCGCACTTCACCGAATGGAATAAATGTCACATGGAATGTACTTTCACCTGAGCACAGGATCTTCACCTTACATCATTAATTGAGGACAAAATAGCACTCTTATATGACCTTTTTTTTTTTTTTTTATATATGTATATATTGTATATGCTATTGAGGGTTTCAGGTTTCCTTTTAGTGCATTTTGCTGCTGGTATTGATGTAAGCAATCGCTGATCTCTCTTACACACGCATATAGAATGATGGCTGGACTTTGAGAGTTTGAGTTGGTGCCACTGAAGTGTTCTGCACTGTAAATGGGAAAAGGAAAAGTTAAGAAACTGTTGTGCCAGGTTCTTGACCATGTTGTTATTCCGTAAACCGTTAAAAAAAGCATCCTGTGTGGACATTCTTTATTCAAGAAGGTGGGCCTCAGTCCTGGAGTATGTGGAACAGAATATGGCTGTGTTTTTCCTAAAGACAGGTATGTGCATACCCTATCTTATGAGGATGCAGGGGGTGGGGCCCCTGGCCAGCTTGGTGGGTAAAGGCAGCAAATCCAGGTCATTTATTCACTGCTTAAGTCTCATCTTTTAGGAGGTACCAGGGAAGAATCAGAAGCAGGTAGCACCTCTTGCCATCCTAAAATGTAGTTCGAGCTCTGGTCACACAGTTACACACAATGGAAAAAAGTAGGTGTTTAAAATAAAAATATGCTGCCAACTGAAAAAGAAAATTGGTATAGTTTAAAGAAGGCAAGTGGAGAAACTAGAGACAGAAGTAAACAGCAAAATAAGGGTAACTCATTTTGGTTAAACGAGTATTCATTCAGCATTTATCACTTCTGTAGGGTCATGTTAGATCACAGCTGAATCAAATTCATTTAATTGAACAATGCTTTAGGTGTTCTATAAGGCATGTTTTCTCATTAGTGGTGTTGTGATAGCAAGCCAAACTTCTGCACATGATGTGAGATTAAAGATTAGACAAAATCAATTACTTTAATTTCACAATAGACCTTGTGTAAGTGCGAGTGCTAATGAGAATGTTCCCGAACATTCTCTTGACTTGTTGGCAGGCTAATTAAGACGGATAAAGAGACCTATTCATGTAGTAACACACTGAGTTATTACTTTTTTTTTTGTTATTCTCTTTTAATAGGAAAGCCGCCCAAAGTAATCTTGTGATTTTTTTTTTTCACTAAATCCAAAACTTTTTTTCTGGAAGGTCCTCCATGCTAAATGACTGCTGGTCATATATGAATGGTCATATATAAATGATTGGTGTTTTATTTAGGTGATTATTTTCAGTAATGTAATACAAAGTAATGAAATCTGCAGTCCAGGAACTGACCATCCAACAATAAGAAAAACAAAAGATTAAAGCTGAACTCCAGGCAAACAGCCAAATACATGGTTGAACACAGATAAGTGAACTGTCCTACCTGCAAATTAATTTGTAATTCTGTCCAGATTCATTTGCAAGTCATATACTTCTGCCTGGCAGTGCAGCCAGGAGAGTGACACCACTTTCTCTCTTAGGGGTTGATCTACCAAAACTGGAGAGTGCAAAATCTGGTGCAGCTCTGCATATAGAAACCAATAAGCTTCCAGGTTCTATTGTCAAAGCCTAATTGAACAAGCTGAAGTTAGAAGCTGATTAGCTACCAATTCACAGCTGCCCCAGATTTTGCACATTCCACTTTTAGTAAATCAATCCCTTATGCAGGCCATATATGGGTCAAATTCCAAACAAATATTCTGTAGAAAATCATAAATTTTGTGCATTTTGTAATCCGATGGTGCCATCATTGATTTCGAAATTCAACCAACCAAGCCTTTAATTTCACCTCATGTTGCTACAGAAAAGAATTTTCGTGGCCAAGAATTTTCTTTTCTTTCCAGGTCACAGCTCATGCTCATTTCTTTTTCTATTACATTTCTCGCATGATTCTCCCATCATTGATTAGAAATTTTGTAGTTTTTAAAAAAATTTACAACATGCCTGATCACTCAAATTTGATGGTTGCTCAAAATCGGCCATTGCTGTGGCCCACTAATGGTGCGAAATCAAAAAGAAAAATCTTAGAAAAGATTTTTGAAAGAAAATTCTTTCAGAATTCAACCCATGTATGGCCAGCTTTAGTGTCCAGAAATGCAATGGTGTCATCCCTCCACTCCACAGCCTGCTGATTGGACAGTGAAGGAACACCAACATACAGATAAATCTGTGCACTCTGACTCTTGCCGTCCTGTTCAATGTCAGTGCATGTGCATGCAGTCAGGTCTCATTGGCTCTTAGAGTCGCCCCTCCCTCTGTCAGTCTGAGTGTTACTGTTACTAGTGTTGCTAGAGATGATAACATAACAGCTTTAAAACAAGTCATTCCACACAGTGTAAAGAAATTCATCACCAAAAATGAATAAATTAATGGTTTTGAGGGGAGCCCACTTTGTGTGCGTGTGGGGTCCCCTTTGACAGCCATACCAGACACTCATCAAGAATAATACTCTGGTGTCTGTTTTTACAGAGAATCCCATTTTTGTTTGTGGATTTCCCCATTAATATCTACACAAGACCCTCATCTAGGATAAGGATCTATTGTAGATGAAGGGAATTCCAAGCCATGTGTTTACAAACAAGACAAAGCAGCCATGAGATGTCATTTATAGACATTTTAATCACCTCCCTATAGTAGAAGTACTGCTACAGGGTGGCAGGGCTGTTCAAAATCACGTATATATACTTGATTTGCATTTCCAAGTAGGGGTCACGCACCGCCCTACCCATTGCTGGCTAGGGATGTCAATCACCGGGTCCTGGCTGGCGATTCCCAGGAATTGTCGGGGAAAGCTGACGGGACAGACCTGTGTGTAAACAACACATGAAGCACAGCCATACAAAGCAGTGTGCTTACAGTGTAAAGCACACACACAGTAAAACACACACAGCACACAGTTAACCCTTTGATTGCCCCAGATGTTAACCCCTTCCTGCCCAGTGTCATTAGTACAGTGTCAGTGCTTTTTATCAGCACTGATCACTGTATTAGTGTCACTGGGGATGTCAATGGCAGTTAGTCAGTTCTCACCCAGTGTCAGAATGGCCGCCACAGTCCCACTGATCGCCGCCATTACTAGTATAAAAAATGTTTCTTTTTAAATTCCAGTATATATACCGCCATTTGTAAACACTAAAACTTTCATGTTAACCAATTAATTAACATGTATTGGGATTTTTTTTAGCAAAGACATAGCAGAATTCATTTTGGCCTAAATTTATGAAGTAATTAGATTTTTTAATTTTTTATTGGAAATGTTTTATAGCAAAATGTAAAAAATATGTTTTTTTTTTTCAAAACTGTGGGTGCAAAAAATAAAAACACAGAGGTGATCAAATAACACTGAAAGAAAGCTCTATTTTCGGGGAAAAAAGGACATAAATGTAATTTATGTACAGAGTTACGTGACTGCACAATTGTCAGTAACATAGAGCCATAACGCAAAATAAATGGCCTGGTCAGGAAGGGGGGGGGGGTATCCTCTGGAGGGCAAGTGGCTAAACAGCATTAATTTTCTTTGTAAATTTCAGTTTAGCTGACAATCCTTTACCTGTTAATCTATAAAATATGCCACTACTGTTTTTTTTTAACATTCGACTCCCTTTTACTTCAGTGAGGTCTGGCTTCAGCACCTGAGCAGGAGAGGGAGACGCTGGACACTGCTGAGCGGGAGAGGCAGATGCAGAAACTGCTGAGAGGGAGAGGCAGATTCTGACACTGCTGAGTGGTAGGACCTGAGCAGGAGCACAAGCACATGGAGTGCAGCGGACACCTAAGGACACAAACAGCAGCCTGTATAAGCAAAGTAAGCAGAGAGAGGCCAGAAAGCTCAGGGTCGGATCAGTGGGTTGCAGCTGTGAGGATGATGTGAAACTGAGTAGTGACACTGGAGTACTCAGAGGTCTGTGAGTGGCTTTATTGTTGAGGACACTGAGTACTGAGAGTGTGGTAAATACTAAAGCACTGTGACTGGGCACTGAGAGTACTAAAGCATTGTAACAGAGGCATTGAGAGTACTAAAGCATTGTAACAGAGGCATTGAGAGTACTAAAGCATTGTAACAGGAGCACTGAGAGTACTAAAGCATTGTAACAGAGGTGCTGATAGTACTAAAGCATTGTAACAGGAGCACTGAGAGTACTAAAGCATTGTAACAGAGGCGCTGATAGTACTAAAGCATTGTAACCGGAGCACTGAGAGTACTAAAGCATTGTAACAGAGGCACTGAAAGTACTAAAGCATTGTAACAGAGGTGCTGAGAATACTAAAGCATTGTAACAGTGGCACTGATAGTACTAAAGCATTGTAACATAGGCACTGAGAGTACTAAAGCATTGTAACTGAAGCACTGAGAATACTAACGCATTGTAACAGAGGCGCTGAGAGTACTAAAGCATTGTAACATAGGCACTGAGAGTACTAAAAGCATTGTAACTGAAGCACTGAGAATACTAACGCATTGTAAAAGAGGCGCTGAGAGTACTAAAGCATTGTAACAGAGGAGCTGAGAGTACTAAAGCATTGTAACAGTGGCACTAATAGTACTAAAGCATTGTAACTGAAGCACTGAGAATACTAACGCATTGTAACAGAGGTGCTGAGAGTACTAAAGCATTGTAACAGTGGCACTGATAGTACTAAAGCATTGTAACAGAGGCACTGAGAGTACTAAAGCATTGTAACAGTGGCACTGATAGTACTAAAGCATTGTAACAGAGGCACTGAGAGTACTAAAGCATTGTAACAGTGAAGCACTGAGAATACTAAAGCATTGTAACAGTGGCACTGAGAGTACTAAAGCATTGTAACAGAGGCACTGAGAGTACTAAAGCATTGTAACAGTGAAGCACTGATAGTACTAAAGCATTGTAACAGAGGCACTGAGAGTACTAAAGCATTGTAACTGAAGCACTGAGAGTACTAAAGCATTGTAACAGAGCACTGAGAGTACTAAAGCATTGTAACAGAGGCACTGAGAGTACTAAAGCATTGTAACTGAAGCACTGAGAATACTAACGCATTGTAACAGAGGTGCTGAGAGTACTAAAGCATTGTAACAGTGGCACTGAGAGTACTAAAGCATTGTAACAGGAGCACTGAGAGTACTAAAGCATTGTAACAGAGGCGCACTGATAGTACTAAAGCATTGTAACAGAGGCACTGAGAGTACTAAAGCATTGTAACTGAAGCACTGAGAATACTAACGCATTGTAACAGAGGTGCTGATAGTACTAAAGCATTGTAACAGAGGCACTGAGAGTACTAAAGCATTGTAACTGAAGCACTGAGAATACTAACGCATTGTAACAGAGGTGCTGAGAGTACTAAATCATTGTAACAGGCACTGAGAGTACTAAAGCTTGTAACAGAGGCGCTGATAGTACTAAAGCATTGTAACAGAGGCACTGAGAGTACTAAAGCATTGTAACTGAAGCACTGAGAATACTAACGCATTGTAACAGAGGTGCTGATAGTACTAAAGCATTGTAAAGAGGCACTGAGAGTACTAAAGCATTGTAACTGAAGCACTGAGAATACTAACGCATTGTAACAGAGGTGCTGATAGTACTAAAGCATTGTAACAGGAGCACTGAGAGTACTAAAGCATTGTAACAGAGGCGCTGATAGTACTAAAGCTTTGTAACAGAGGTGCTGATAGTACTAAAGCATTGTAACTGGAGCACTGAGAGTACTAAAGCATTGTAACTAAAGCACTGAGAATACTAACGCATTGTAACAGAGGTGCTGATAGTACTAAAGCATTGTAACAGGAGCACTGAGAGTGCTAAAGCATTGTAACAGGAGCACTGAGAGTGCTAAAGCATTGTAACAGGAGCACTGAGAGTGCTAAAGCATTGTAACAGGAGCACTGAGAGTGCTAAAGCATTGTAACAGAGGCGCTGAGTACTAAAGCATTGTAACAGGGGCACTGAGAGTACTAAAGTATTATAACTGGGCAGTGTGAATATTGAAGCACTGGGACAAGTACTGAAGCATTGTGACTGGAGCATTGTGAGAAGGAGAGAACACTAAGGGTCATGTAATCAGTGAAAAGAAGCAAGAGTAAAGGATGTCCAGGGCTGTGTGAGCGTGAATTGGAGGAGCAGATGCCAGGGGCCGAGTGATCAGTGAGCATGCTTAGGAGAAGGGAATACCAGGGTCAAATGATAAGTGAGCAGAATTAGAATTAGAGGACGCAGAGGAGTGAGTGACCAGCAAGTAGGAGCAGGAGGAGGGAATGCCAAGGACCACGTGAGTGGGAGCAAGGAGAAGGGAAGTCAGAGGGCAGTGTGACCAGTGAGCAAGAGCAGGAGGAGAAGACGGTGCATTAGGGGCACATGTGATCAGTGAGCAGGAGATCCCAAACAGCTAGGGATACTAGTGCTCAGAATAGAATTAAAAGTTAAGTGATACAACCAGTGCCCAGAATAATTCATTTTTACTGGATTATCCTGAACCATGTATGCATTCCCTGAGCAACCATTTGTGGGTGAATACTGCTCCACCTGTAAAACCATTCCTGTTTTGGGGGTCGTCTTATTGTTGCCCATCTAGTGCACCTGTTGTTAATTTCATTAACACCAAAGGATCTGAAACTGATTAACAACCCCCTCTGCTACCTAACTGACCAGATCAATGTCCCAGGAGTTTAACTGACTTGTTGCTATACTCTGATTAAAAAGTGTTCCTTTAATTTTATTGAGCAGTGAATATATACATTTTAAAAATGTAATGTCATTTCAAAAGTTGTCTTCAGCCTGTTTAAATCTGCAGCTTTTGTTAAAAGAATGTCTACCATGAAGGCCTTTGCCCAAGAACTTCCTGTTATGGGGTGAAAATTATCTTGCTACTGTGTTCCTGCATTGTGCTCCTGTAATGACCATTCCTGGAGGAGACTTGAAGAGACCATGCCAACACACAATATGCAGGTATGGTCTATCATTACTGCCATGAGGAAGTCAGTCATGACCAATAATGTTCGGCCCAGGATGTGGCATGTACATTAAGAATGGAAATGGCTAAAAGAGGCCAGAAGACATGAGCTGCACAGAGATGTGAAACATGGATGAATAAAAGGTGAAAACAGCATTTTATGGAGAAGAAACATGCCAACTTTTTATGATACAGAATGCTTTAGAAAACTAAATGTCATCCAGATAGGGTTTATATTTACTCTGACATAAGCAATAACACTTCCAGGGATGTTGCTTTGTGATCCTGAAAATGAAACAGAATGCCAGGTCTCTCTGCATCTATCAAGAAGATGCCTCTGAACTGAAGGGAATAGAATACAATTTTCTTGTAGATACCTTGGGAATCTAAGTTTGTGTTACTTAATATATCAAACATTCTTGAATGTGTCCCAAAAATTATACCTTCACATGGGACTCACAGTTCTCTGCCCAGGAAATTCCTATACTAAGTAGACTAGAGGATTAGCAGAGCTGAGAAGGGAGAAGGTCTCATAGTACAGTATGAGCCAGTAGGAGTTACATCCCGAAGGAGACGCACACTCACCCTACATATTACAGCTGTGATTACAACAGACTCATTCATTCCAGGAGTCCTCTTACATCACTGTCTTATAAAAGTCATAGTCCATTTCCTGAATCCTGTGTATACTGTATTGTAAAAACAATGATTTACAAAGAAATGAGTGAAAGTTTGTGAAACATTTATTTTTAATGGGAACTGCAGTCATTAAATTCCGGTTTGCAATATTTTCCAAATGAAGCATTATCAGTGCAGGTGTTGACTATCCTTAAAGAATCAGTCTGCTGAATCCTGATATTTTAATTATGGGTAACAAAGGAGGGGGTTGGTGCTGCGCTAACAAATCTAAATGAATCTAAATAAACTACAAAAGGTGGGAAAATGGATAACCCACAGAAAACTTAACAGGTGAACCACAACGTAAACAGCACAAATAACACAAGTGCACTACCATATGTGAAAACAATGCAAATAAAGATGTCCTCATCTCAAGACATGTGCCATAGTAATATACGTGAACTATACATATGAAAGAGGAATAAAGTAGTAAAAATATATAAATATA